ACGTCCTCTGGCTCAAAATACATTTTTATAAAAATTCTCTGTAGGTTTGGATGTTTCCTCTGTTGTGTGTTTTTTAAAAATATATCTTTATTGATTTCAGAGAGGGAGAGAGAGGTAGAAACATCAGTGATGAGAGAGAATCATTGATTGGTTGCCTCCTGCATGCCCCACCCCAGGGCATCTAGCCTACAACCCAGGCACATGCCCTGACCTGGAATTGAACTGTGACCTCCTGGTTCATAGTTTGATGCTCACCCACTGGCCAGGCTGGACATGTCTTAGGTTGACATGCTCTAGAAGCCAGTGTGCAGGGGAGCCAACCGATCCTTACATCAGGTTTGTTGCATGCTTGACAAAAAGACTTTCAAGGGGTGAAGACACGAAGGTGTGCTGTGGTCGGGATAGAACGGGCCCTGTGAGAGCAGCGAGCTCGTCAGGTGACCGTGACGGGCTGTTTTGCAGGTGGCCTGTGGCGCAGCGGACTGATATACAAAAGACTCATCGACTACTTCATCCCCTTCCTGCCCCTGGAGTACACACATGTGAAGATGTGTGTGCGGGCAGAGATGAAGGCCCGTGGCTCCGCCATAGACGAAGACATTGTCACCAGAGTGGCAGAGGAAATGACGTTTTACCCCAAAGGTGAAAAAATCTACTCCGACAGGGGCTGCAAGACTGTGCAGTCGCGGCTGGATTTCCAGTGACGTCCATCCGAGCAGGGCCCGAGGCAGCTGGGAGCTCAGGAGCGAGGGCCTGGCCTTTCAGAAGCATTCTGAAGATGTCGTCAGGGTTTGCACATTTGTACCTGTGGACTTTTGGAATCTAGAAGTTTCTATGAGTTGATTTTTGATGAGCCGCTAAATTGCCAAGTGCACTTGTCATTTTGCAACATGGTAGCAATGCAACTGTTGTTGCAGTTGAAGATGAACTTTTAAAACCCTTCTCCCCCACTCCTACTGACTTTGCAGAAGTGCCTTCAAACAGCTGTCTGTGTGAGACCCATAACTGTGGCCCTCAAGCTGCTGTCCCTCCTGAAGTCCAGGGCCTGCTGCAAGCTGGGAGCACTGGCTGTCACCTGCCGGAATCAGGCTTCCGCTCCGGTTCTCTCTTCACAGAGAGCGTCCCGACTTGAAGTATTTTCAGTGGAGAATGGTGGTGCCTTCAGGCGCAGGCCGCGTCTGGCGGGAGGACATGTGGGGTCCTCGTCTGTGCGGCAGCCGGACGGACAGATCATCGCCGCCTGGCCGTTGCTCTGCTGCTCGGGGAACCCGCTCGCCTCTCCCTGTGGCACTTCTTCTGAACGTCAGTGACCACCAGCTTCCCCCACCGCTAGTCGGACTGGAACCAGAGCGTTGGTTTCAGTTTCAAGTCCTTGGTCCCATGGGGAAATGTTTGTTACAGTGTACACTTGGGTCATTTTCTTGCTGTAACCCACAGAACCATTTGAAATCCTAGAACACGGTCATCTCTGTGGAGATGGGGTCAGCTTGCAGACTCTGCATTGCCAAAGTGGAAGTATTGTACACTAGAAACACTAGAGTTTTCAAGGATGAGTGTATACACACACACACACACACACACACATATTTTAATATATTTTTCTTGATTTTAGAGAGGAAGGGAGAGGGAGAGATAGAAACATCAATGATGAGAGAGAGTCATTGATCAGCTGCCTCCTGCATGCCACCCCCACTGAGGATCGAGCCTGCAACCTGGGCACATCCCCCTGGGCGGAGTCAAACCTGGGACCCTTCAGTCCGCAGGTCAACACTCTATCCACTGAGCGAAACCAGCCAGGCCAAGGATGAGTATATTTTTATAATGTTTGTATTTCTGAATGTTAGAGAATACTAATGTAGGGCATTGCTCATTTTAAACATGGGAAGGACACTAATGGAATAATTGTCTGTGATCAGAAACTCTGAAAATGAAGGGTATGATTTATTGTCAAATGCATGGTACTGTATTGTCACAATTATAGAACAAAGTAATTATTGGTCATCCTGGAGTTGTGGCTTTCCTGGGTGTCATCTGATAGTGACACCCTCTGTGGCAGTGCCAGGCTGGACGGCCCCGGTCCCTGGGAAATCAGACGATCCCCGCCCGTGTGAAGCGTTTAGCTCGTGGTTGCAGTGGACCTACAGATGTAATGAGGACGTGCAGCCTTTTCACGTAGATGTGGTAAATTAATATGTTTATGACATGGAAGGCCTTATGGAGGATCATACTGTCCTTTAAAAATGCCAAAGTGAGGTAACGAATGATCAGATTGGAGGAACCTTTTTTCTGCCAAGGGCCATTTGGATATTGTAACATCATTCAGGGGCTGTACAGAATTATCAACTTAAAAATTAGCCTGCTATATTTGGTCAAACACTTAATTAACTTATCCCTGATGCTTTGGTAGGGCCGGACCAAATGACTTTATGGGTTTTATATGGCCCTGGGGCCGGACCTTCCCCACCCCCGGTTTACAATGATGCAGTCAACTCAGCATATGTTGGCCACGTCAAAACTGCCTGTTATAAAAGTAATCACGTGGATGTAAAGTACAGCCTAGGGAATCGTCAATAACTGTGTGGTGTCAGATGGGACCATTACTGGTTTGTAACTTGAAATGGCCACGGTTGACCATGGAACAGCCTCTCCCACCCCACACAATGTACATGGGAGCTTGAGATGACCCAGTGAATCTACACTAATAAAAGAAAGATGCAAATTGACTGTACCTTCATGACACCCATCAGCCAATCAGCAGTGGGTATGTAAATTAACCCATCAAAGATGGCGGGTTGGTTTGCAGGCGCTGAGCAGTCAGGGGCAGGGTGGGACACTTCCGTCGTCACCATGGTGACAACGCTGGCATTCCGCACTGCCCCAGCTGCTCCAGGCATCTGGGCAGCGTGAGAAGGCGGAAAGGTGGCTCCAGGACAGAAAGGCAGCTCTGAGCCGAAGCGAAGGCGGTGCTGGCAGCCAGGGGAAGGAACGCCCATTCTTGCATGAATCTTAGTGCATCGGGCCTCTAATATAAAGCCAGAATTTTATCATATGAGATGTCATTTGCAGATTTTCCCCCTAGTTTATGTACTTGGTAACTGAAAAGTTTGAGCTTGGAATGAAGGCTCAGCAACTCGGGTGCTGGGCTCCATGTGCCTGGCCATGTTGGTTTGCAGGCGGCATCACACAGAATCAGTATTTACCTTACAGGCTCTTACCCCCAGACAAATACCATGTTAACCTGGATGAGGGGCTCTACTCCAATCACATGTTCATGGATGGAGACAGTATCAAGATCGTTGGACTTCCAATGTTTTCTAAGACGAGTGGAGGGACTTCAGACGGGGAAACACAACTTGTCTGGCTGACATTTTTTATTTTTAGAGACAGAGAGAAACATCGATGTGAGAGACACACATCAATTGGTTGCCTCTGAGCTTGCAACCAAGGTATATGCCCTTGACTGGAATCGAACCTGGGACCCGCAGGCCCACGCTCAGCTGACATTCTGAACCTGAGCTAGGCCAACGTCAGACCAGGAAACCTAACTGCCAGGTCTTCCCCCCAGAACTGGAAATGAAACCCTAGTTGTAACCCAGAGCTCAGCTTAATCACACTTACCTGCCTCTTATCTGTCAGTGAATTGTTAACACCAGCCCTTTCCCCAGAGCTGAGGAGAGCCAGCTGACTTTCTAAAGTTCAAACCCTCTTCCCATCATCGCCCCCACACCCCTCACTTCTCAGTTGGAAGTGCTCAAGTCCCAGGAGACGGACATTCCCGGTCTGGCTCCCACCCAGACAGCCTCATCTACAAAGACAACTCCAAATTGAGTCAGGGGACCTCTGTGTTCTGTAATTGGGGACCCCCAGGTGCTGCCATCTTCAAATGCATGATAGATCCCAATCTGTGACTCCTGGAGACCTGGCAACAGACCAGAGTCGGCTCAACGTCTAGAACTTTCCAGCATGTAGAGCCGTCCTCAGGGGGCCTGGGTGGCAAAGGGTCCTGCATCAGCCCACAGCCAGGCTGCCAACCCGTCTGTGCCCGCTGAAACCTGTCCCTGTGAACACTGCTCAGGCCTCACCCCCCAGGAGCCCCACCTGTTCGTAGGCGCATGTGCGGATTGTGTAACCAGGTATGTCAGTCAGCAGTACTCCCTACTCCTGCCTGGCGTCTCTGGACTTAGACTCCACGGCTGGTGTCAGGAGCTGCATGAGCCCCACGGTTGGCAATGCCCCATGCAGCTGGGCGAGTGGCCAGGTTGTCCTAGGATCCTCGGTCTCTGGTTAGAGTTCATGTGATTCCGGCCTAGACTGCTCCTGCTAGGTCTTCATTCATAGCTTAAGCACACAAGGCCTATAGGGGAGGGGTTTTCTCCTTTAAAACTATGTCCAGAGCTTTTCCCCTGGCTGGCAGTGTGGGGGCCGCACGATGCCCGGAGTTACTGTAAAAGATTTGAACCAGGAGGAGTTCGTCAGAGCTCTGGCAGCCTTCCTCAAAAAGTCCAGAAAAGGATTCCGAGCAAGATGGCAGCATAGGTAAACACCGGAGACTGCTGCCGCAAACAACCACTTCAAAAATACAACTAAAAGATGGAACGGACATCACCCAGAACCACAAGAAGGCTGGCTGAGGAGAGACTCTTCAACTAGAAGGAAAAATAACAGCACACCGAGGCTCAGAGGAGGCGCAGTGTGGAAAATACTCAGGTGCGGAGGTGCGCGCGCAAAGCGGGCTGGTGGCTGAGAGCGCGGTTGTCGTTTTCGGTCAGGGGGGAGTCTCAGACTCTGAGCTCCAGATACGGGCGAATCGCTGGGGACTCGGACCCAAACGGGAGAAGCGGGAGTGTCTGGCATCAGTTGGAAGGCAGCTTTCCCTCCGAGGTTTGCAGCGGTTCCGGGGGTTCTGAGAAGCAGAGCCTCTGGGAACAGGACTGAGGGCACCATAACGGCTCCCTCCGCCCGCCCTGTTGAGCCCGCCCCGCCCAAGCCCTGCGCAGAGCCATTTGCCGGATCGCCTCAGGCAAAGGCTAGATTAGCACCTCCCCAGAGGACAGAAGTTTTCCGCGGCAGACACAGCTGATTCACACAGCCAGTCGGCCTGGTGGTCAAATCCCTCTAGTATTAACTACAACAATCAAGGCTCAACTAGAACAAGACTGCGCACAAAGACCACTAGGGGGTGCACCAAGAAAGCATAAAAAATGCGGAGACAAAAAAACATGACAGAAATGGAGGATATAGAGCTAAAAATCGCAATTTTGAGGGCTTGCAAAAATGTGCTAGAAGCTGTCAATAAACTTGAGGAGAGAGTCACGAAAACTAATGAGACCCTCGATGCTATGATAAAGAACCAACTAGAAATTAAGCATACACGGACTGAAATAAAGAATATTATACAGACACCCAATAGCAGACCAGAGGAGCGCAAGAATCAAGTCAAAGATTTGAAATGCGAAGAAGCAAAAAACACCCAACCGGAAAAGCAAAATGAAAAAAGAATCCGAAAATACGAAGATAGTGTAAGGAGCCTCTGGGACAGCTTCAAGCGTACCAACATCAGAATAATAGGGGTGCCAGAAGATGAGAGACAGCAAGATATTGAAAACCTATTTGAAGAAATAATGGCAGAAAACTTCCCCCACCTGGTGAAAGAAATGGACTTACAGGTCCAAGAAGCGCAGAGAACCCCAAACAAAAGGAATCCAAAGAGGACCACACCAAGACACATCATAATTAAAATGCCAAGAGCAAAAGACAAAGAGAGAATCTTAAAAGCAGCAAGAGAAAGAGACTCAATTACCTACAAGGGAATACCCATACGACTGTCAGCTGATTTCTCAACAGAAACTTTGCAGGCCAGAAGGGAATGGCAAGAAATATTCAAAGTGCTGAATACCAAGAACCTACAACCAAGAATACTTTATCCAGCAAAGCTATCATTCAGAATTGAAGGTCAGATAAAGAGCTTCACAGATAAGGAAAAGCTAAAGGAGTTCATCACCACTAAACCAGTATTATACGAAATGCTGAAAGGTATCCTTTAAGAAGAGGAAGAAGAAAAAGGTAAAGATACAAATTGTGAACAACAAACATGCATCTATCAACAAGTGAATCTAAGAACCAAGTGAATAAATAATCTGATGTACAGAATGAACTGGTGATTATAATGAATCAGGGACATAGAAAGGGAATGGACTGACTATTCTTGGCGGGGAAAGGGGAATGGGAGATGCGGGAAGAAACTGGACAAAAATCGTGCACCTATGGATGAGGACAGAGGGTGGGGAGTGAGGGCGGAGGGTGGGGCGGGAACTGGGAGGAGGGGAGTTAGGGGGGGGAAAAAA